TTTCAGACCTTCTCTCCCACCCCGAAGATGACCACTCTTCGGGTACTGCTGCACATAGCTGCTCACCGCGACTACGAGCTGCACTCTCTTGACTTCAGCACTGCTTTCTTGCAGGGCAGCCTGCACGAGGAGATCTGGCTGCGTCACCCACCTGGCTTCACTGGGTCTTTTCCTCCTGGCACCCAGTGGAGCCTCCGGCGGCCAGTCTACGGTCTCCGCCAGGCACCGCGTGAGTGGCACGACACACTGAGGACTACACTTGCGGCTCTTGGGTTTGCTCCCTCTACTGCCGACCCGTCGCTGTTTCTGCGCACCGACACTTCTTTGCCGCCGTTCTACATCCTCGTGTACGTCGACGACTTGGTCTTTGCCACAGCTGACACTGCTGGACTCGCCCACGTGAAGTCCGAGCTGCAGAAGAGACACACGTGCACAGACCTGGGTGAACTGCGCAGCTACCTTGGCTTGCAGATCACCCGGGACAGAGCACGCCGCACCATTACCCTGACTCAGTCACACATGGTGCAGCAGGTCCTTCAGCGCTTCGGCTTCACGTACTCCTCGCCTCAGGCCACTCCTCTGCCTACTCGCCACTCGCTCTCAGCTCTGCCTTCGGATGAGTCCGTAGAGTCGAGTGGCCCGTACCCAGAGCTTGTTGGCTGCCTCATGTACCTGATGACCTGCACACGACCTGACCTTGCATACCCTCTTAGCATTCTCGCACGCTATGTTGCTCCTGGGAGACACAGACCGGAGCACATGGCTGCAGCGAAGAGGGTGTTGCGCTACTTGTGCAGTACGTCGGGCATGGGGCTTGTGCTTGGAGGGCAGAGTCCAGTGGTCCTCACTGGGCACGCAGACGCTTCTTGGGCTGACGACCAGGCTACGCAGCGGTCGTCACAGGGTTACACCTTCAGCCTTGGTTCCGGCTCTGTTTCGTGGCGGGCTACCCGCTCGTCTTCTGTTCTCGGCTCCAGTTGTGAGGCTGAGATCTACGCCGGGGCCATGGCTGCACAGGAGCTTCGCTGGCTCACCTACCTGCTGACTGACCTCGGAGAGCCGCCTCGTTCTCCTCCAGTGCCGTACGTAGACAACAAGGCCATGCTGGCCTTGTGTCGAGAGCAGAGACTGGAGCACAGAACGAAGCACATTGCTCTCCGCTACTTCCTTGCTCGTGAGCTACAGCAGCGTGGTCAGCTGCGGCTTGCGTACGTGGCCTCTGAGGCCAACACTGCTGATATCTTCACCAAGGCACTTGCGCCTTGTGATCATCAGCGCTTCTGTACTCAGCTGGGTCTTGTGCCTACCTTGCCTCACTTGCTCACCCCTTGACCTTGTTTGTACTGTTGCATATATATATACACCTGCTCCTGCTTGTCTAGCCTTATAAATATATGTAATCCTGCATGTGAACTGGCCTTGTGGCCTTGAACTTGTGCTCGGAATGTGTGGTGACTTTGTGATCCACCCTGAGCTTGCTTTGCTTTGCTTGACTGGTCTTGTGACCCCTTGTTCTCCCCCACTTTGCCTATGGGGGTGTGTCAGATTTATATGACATAGCTACTGTAGGCTATAGTGGGGTAGCACATATAGGGTACAGTTGTCTAGGGTTTGCATTTGTACCCAACTTTCCCTTAGTCAATTTATTCTCGTTCAGTTTCTCAACGGGTTACCTTCGGCGATCATCAGCGATCGATACCCGAAATTCACGTCAAAGTTCTGGCAGGAAACGTGGGCACAGTACGGCACCCGCCTGCAGTTTTCGTCGTCTTACTACCCGCAAACTGACAGTCAGACAGAACGGACAAATCAGACTATGGAGCAGTTGATTCGCACAAACTGCCCCGACCTCACCAAGTGGGAAGATTTACTCCCCATGCTGGAATTTGCGTACAACAACGCACCGTCTACGACGACCAATTAGTCGCCGTTCTACCTCAGTTACGGGATAGACCCCATGGTACCCTCTTCAACGACCCCCGACAACCCGGTACCATCGTCGCAGCAGTTTGTCTCGGACTTCAAGTAGCCCGCGACAAAGCAGCAGAGTTTATCCGGAAGGCTAATACTGTTGCTAGCCGCTACGCTGACAGGCATCGACGGAACTTACCCTTCCGTGACGGGCAGATGGTCCTCCTGGACACGAAGAATCTTCGCCTGCCCCAACCCGCAAAACTGCGTCCCCGCTACGTGGGACCCTTCCGCATCATTCGGATGTTGACCCCGGTCACGGCGAAACTATTGCTACCGGATGACTGGAAAATCCACAACGCTTTCCACGTCAGACTGCTCCGCCATTACGTGGCCCCGAAGTCGTCCGACATCGCCCGCCCCAACATCGCGCCAAGTGTTCGGCCTGTGGCAGACCCGACACGACAGCCCTGGAAGATTTTTAATCATCGCATACGTGCGACGCCAGTTGGACCACACGTCGATTTCCTCCTGCGCTGGGTGGATCGCACAAGTGAAGATGACACGTGGGTCCCAGCTGACTCACTGCAAGGCCACTCGGTACTACGGGATTATCTTTCCCGCCGACGCGTGCCTGATGTTGACCACCTTTCTTAAAGGGGGGGGGGGGGGGGGGGGGGGGGGGGGGGGGGGGGGGTAGTGTAAGGAATTTTCCTATTTCCTTACTTAGGCACTCTGTTTGTGCGCGTACAATTCCAAATTTCAGAGTTCAGGCTTGGTCCGATGACCTCGCCTTCCGAACGTCCCTCGCGTCGCCTTTGGATTTCCCAACCCCAAACCTGCACCCAACCATCTCGCGACTGCGCGACCTCGGCCTAGCTAGCATTGCTATATAAGTCCTAGGCCTCGTTGTTTGCTTAGTAGTTGTAATCACTTCCGGGATATTGCATTTTGCGCACTCTTCTTTCGTACAACTCATAACAATAATGCTCCCAAATAGGCCGTTTTGGGAATTACGTTCGTCTGATGCAATTCGAAACGAAATTAATCTTATGAGTGTAACGAATGAATGTTGGCAAAAATATGCATGGGATCTTTATTGTCAAGATAGTAGGTGAACATGGGCTTAGGAGAAACCCTAGCCTAGGTTGATGTCGAGAGGAAAGTGAGGGAGTAGCACAAAAAGGATGGTTGCACTAAAGAATTGCAAGTACAAATAGATGAGAAACATGCAAGAAGAGGTGCACCACAAGCAGGAAATCATTATGCCTACACTACTGTTAGAATTTGAAATGATTGAGTAGGATCGTAATACTTAGGATGGTAGCTTCCTGTCGTAGCGGAAGTCTTGTATGAGTTAAAGCCAGTTATAGAAGGCTTTGTCTGGACTATTAAAAGCCCATGTAGTGATATGTTTCAGGATCAATGTCTCTGAAATCAGATATATTATAAAATGACAAGCATACAGAATATATAGCTAGAGTAAAGTACCTGTTCGCCTACTGTACTGTATTTATTCACGCTATTCCTGTTCTGAAATGGTACGTGACTATTTGCGAGGCCTATAGCTACGTGCTGACGTCATCCTAGGGCGCGTAGCGCTTTGCTGACGTCAGCCTATCGGTACTTTACTATTACGTGCGAAGTCTCGCACTGTACTACACGAATTCCCTGAAGTGCTTAAGTCTCCATATTATCTCAACACTCCTCTTCACTTCTAGGAGTTCGGTGTAGTTACCCGGTTGTCTCAGAAACGCCGCTGGGCTGGTTGCAGTGATGAAACTTCTGTCGTGTCAGTTTCTTGGTAAGTGAGTCAGCTGCCATGTCACCAGTGGGACAGTAGACAATGTCAGAAACAAGAAGTGTTGAACTAGAAAGTTGTTGGAGTACAAGTAGTAAACCCTAGTGAAATGTACCCCCTAAAGGCTAACCCACTGTAGCCTACACAACAGAAACATATATAATGTTTGACACACCCCCATAGGCTAAGTGGGGGAGAACAAGGGGTCACAGGACCAGTCAAGAAAACCAAAGCAAGCTCAGGGTGGATCACAATGTCACCACACACTCTGAGCACAAGCAAAGGACCACAAGGCCAGTTCACATGCAGAGGCATATAGAAAGTACAAACATCACAGTGATCTACGTCTAGCAAGTATGCAAGGTCTACAACAAGTGAGGAAAAGTGGGCACAAGTCCTAGCAAAGTGCAGAAACGCTGATGATCACCAGACTGAAGTGCCTTGGTGAATATATCAGCAGTGTTGGCCTGAGAGGCCACAAAACGCAGACGAAGCTGACCACGCTGCTGCAACTCTCGAGCCAGAAAGTAACGTAGAGCGATGTGCTTCGTCCTGTGCTCCAGTCTGTGCTCCTCACACAAGGCAATGGCAGCCTTGTTGTCGACGTACAGCACTGGAGGAGAACGAGGCCGCTCTCCTAGGTCGGTCAGTAGGTAGGTGAGCCAGCGTAACTCCTGTGCAGCCATGGCTGTGGCGTAGATCTCAGCCTCACAACTGGAGCTGAGAACTGAAGACGAACGCGTAGAACGCCAAGAAACTGAGCCAGAGCCAAGACTGAAGGTGTAACCCTGTGACGACCGCTGAGTAGCCTGGTCGTCAACCCAAGAAGCGTCTGAGTGCCCAGTGAGAACAACTGGGCTCCCTCCTCCAAGCACGAGCCCCATGCCCGATGTACTGCACAAGTAGCGCAATACCCTCTTTGCAGCATCCCAGTGCACCTTTCGGTGCCTGCCAGGAGCCACATAGCGGGCCAGAAGGCCAAGAGGGTATGCTAGGTCAGGACGAGTGCAAGTCATCAGGTACATGAGGCAACCAACTAGCTCTGGGTAAGGACCACTCGGCTCTACGGACTCATCCGAAGGCAGAGCTGAGAGCGAGTGACCTATAGCCAAAGGAGTGGCCTGTGCTGAGGACCAGGTGAAGCCGAAGCGCTGAAGGACCTGCTGCACCATGTGTGACTGAGTCAGTGTGATGGTGCGGCGTGCTCTGTCCCGGGTGATCTGCAAGCCAAGGTAGCTGCGCAGTTCACCCAGGTCTGTGCACGTGTGTCTCTTCTGCAGCTCGGACTTCACGTGGGCGAGAGCCTCAGTGTCAGCAGTGGCAAAGACCAAGTCGTCGACGTACACGAGGATGTAGAACGGCGGCAGCGAAGTGTCGGTGCGCAAAAACAGTGACGGGTCAGCAGTAGAAGGCGTGAACCCAAGTGCCGCAAGAGTAGTCCTCAGTGTGTCGTGCCACTCACGTGGCGCCTGGCGGAGACCGTAGACCGGCCGCCGGAGGCTCAACTGGGTACCAGGAGGAAACGACCCAGTGAAGCCAGGAGGGCGGCGCAGCCAGATCTCCTCGTGCAGGCTGCCCTGCAAGAAAGCCGTGCTGAAGTCAAGAGAGTGAAGCTCGTAGTCACGCTGAGCAGCAACGTGCAGTAGCACCCGAAGAGTGGTCATCTTCGGGGTGGGGGAGAAGGTCTGAAAGAAGTCTACTCCCTCTCGCTGACTGAAGCCTCGAGCAACGTAACGAGCCTTGAAGACAGGCGGGGAACCCGGCGGCCGCTTCACCCTGAAAGTCCACATGCCACTGACGATGTTCGCCCCAGGAGGGGGAACCTCGTCGACGTAAGTGCCTGTGGACTTCCAGGATGCCATCTCTGCATCCATGGCTGACTGCCACTGAGAGGAGTACTCACCCGCGATCGCCTCAGCGTAAGAGCGCGGGGTCGGGATGTCTGGAGCATCCGGGTCTCCCTCAGGGGCAATCAGCATGGACACGAGATGAGGCGCAGCGGCTGCAAGACACTCAAGGTCCTCCTGTCTGTCCTCAAGGACGTCCGTGCCTAGAGCACACTCACCCCCGACGGACGGAGGACAGACAGACGGAGACTCAGCAACAAGACTGGCGGCGTAGTCTAGACGACAGTGAGCAGCAAAGTCGACTAGCTCAGCAACTAGGGCAGACGCAGCAGCAGACTCAAAGGAAGGGTCAGTGACAGCAGTGGCCAGGAGACGCGTGACAGTAGGACTGGCAGCACGAACCCGGTCAGACTCCAGGTCAGCAAGAGCAGGAAGAGAGGACGCAGGAGGAGACGGCAGAGGGACACGCTGTGGAGCAGTGGAAGGACGCAGAGTCATAGTGTGTGTGCCAGGGACAGGTGGAGGACGCTCACGTGGAACACGGCGACCAGTGCGAGTAGCACGAACAGGTGACACAGGACGAGACACAGGTGACACAAGACGGGACTCAGGCTCACGACGCTCTGTAAGACCGCCTGTCGGACCAGTGTAGGGAGAAGGACCAGGAAGTGGCGAGGCAGGCGGTAGCTGTGAGTGTGACTGGACAGGCAGAGGACACTCTAAGGAGGGAGGAGGACTAGGAGGAGGCGGCTGACCAAGAACCTGCTGAAGGAGTGGAACGAAGTACGGCCGCGGCCGTGAAGTGCCCCCAGAAGCAGCAGAGACAGGACCAGAACCTCCAGCCGAACCAGCGCCAGCAGCACCTCCAGCAGCTCCAGTACCTCCAGCAGCACCAGCAGCACCTCCAGCAGCACCAGAACCTCCAGTCGAACCAGCGCCAGCAGCACCTCCAGCAGCTCCAGTACCTCCAGTAGCACCAGCAGCACCTCCAGCAGCTCCAGCACCAGCAGCACCTTCAGCAGCACCAGAACCTCCAGCCGAACCAGCAGCTCCAGCACCAGCAGTACCTCCAGCAGCTCCAGGACCTCCAGTAGCAGCAGGGCCTCCAGCTGGCGGTACCTCAGCGCCAGGAGCTCCACTCCGGAGGCTGCAGCGCCGAGCGTACCACTCACGCAGCTGCTCTGAAGAGGGAGCGCCACCAGGCGCAGCACGATCAGTCTCAGAACTCCCAGCCTCAGCTCCTCTAGGCTCAGCACGCCCAGTCGCAGCACCCCCAGGCTCAGCACCTCCAGGCTCAGCTCCCGCAGTCTCCACACCCCCAGGCTCAGCACCCCCAGTCCCCGCACCCCCAGGCTCAGCACCCCCAGTCTCAGTACCCCCAGACCCAGCACCAGCAGGCTCAGCACGCTCAGCACCTCGCGCAGGACCAGAGTCCACAGCTACCTCGACAGGCTCGACCGGGTCTACCTGGGAAACACCTGAGGGAGCAGCACCCTGGGGAGGGAGGGGGTCTACCGACGGGACACCTGGGGTGAGGAAGAGCGGCGGGGGGGGGGAGCGGGGCAGTGCGGTAGGGGAAGAGACGGTAAAAGGGTACCGACTCGTCAAAGGTGACGTCCTGAGAGGCAAAGACACGACGCGAGGTGGGGTGGTAAAACTGCCAGCCAGGCGCGTCAGGGACAAGGCCAAGGAAGACGCAGGGAACGGCACGGGACGAGAGCTTGTCCGCGGACGTATCGCGGACAAAGGCTCAACATCCCCAGACTCGGAACACCGACGCATCGCCAACCTCCCCCGTCCAACGCAGGGTAGGCGAGGTCTCCGGAACAGAGACACGGGGCCAGAGGTTGAGTTGATGCGCGGCGTACTGCACTGCAAACGGCCACAGGAAATGGGGGGCAGCCGCATGGATCACGGAGGTACGAGCGACCTCCATGACAAGACCAATGCGGCGCTCAGCAACCCCATTCTGCTGCGGAGAGGCCGGGAGAGTGAACGTCTGGCGGATGCCGTGCTCCGCACAGTAGGCTGCCAAGAGGTCAGAGGAAAACTCGCCACCTCTGTCAGAGTGCAGACGGAGGACAGGAAAGTCCGACTGGAACCGCTCACGGAGCTGGAGACGAGCAGCGCGGATCCAGGGGATCAAGACATCAGGGACCTCACCCTTGGTACGCAAGGGGAATACCGTGGTGTAACGCGTGTAGTCGTCGACGACCAGCAGAAAGTACCGCTCGTGGCCCTGTCCCCGGACGCGGGCGGGGCCCCACACGTCCAGGTGGAGAGTCTGCAGGGGAGCCGCTGTGGGAGGGAACGAGGAAGAGTGAGGAGCGGCGCGCTGCCGCCCCTCGACACAGGGAAGACAGGGAGGAGCAGGCGAGGGTGGTAGGGGAGGGAGAACCCTGGGAAGACCAGAGACAAGGTACCTGGAGTGCATGCCGCGAAGGCGCTGCACTGACGGGTGACCAAGGCGGTGGTGCCAGAGAACAGTCCTGTGTGACAGGGAGCGACACGAGCAGGGGGCCGACTGCTGACCTGACGCAGACGCAGACGCAGACGCAGCTACCTGAGGGGACTCAGTGGTCAGTGTGTACAAGTCCGACCCCGGCTGCCGAGTGAAGGTAGCCAGGTGACGACCCGTCCGGGCGCACGTGCAGTGCGTCACACGCTCGTAGGCCGGGGTGAACTGGTGAACACCCGCGTCCTGGAGCGCGGAACCCGCCACCAAGTTCGTAGAGAACGAGGGGAGGTAGAGGCCCGACAGCGTGCCAGACGGGACAGCAGGACAAGGGAGGGCAGTGGTGGAGGTCGCAAGGACCGGACCCCCTGAGGGGTCGGCCAGGGAGACAGCAACCGGTCTAGGGAGCTGCTCTAGGGCAGTGCGGTCGCGGAAGAAACAGCGGGAAGCACCTGAGTCCAGTGTGAAGGTGTGCAGTGCCTCGGTAGGTGCGGTACCAACAGACATAGACGCACTAGCACCTAGGGCAGCAGCCTCACCAGGACCTAGAGCAGCAGTCGCGCTAGCACCTAGAGCTGCAGCCTCACAGGTCCCATTACCCGGGTCGGGCGGTACACTCAGGTAACAGTCACCCTCAGCACTAATAGTCAATGCATACATAGCAGCAAGGATAGCATCATAATCAAGAGCAAAGATATCAATCCCCTTCCTAAGCAGATCAGCCCAGCGGGGCAGCTCAGAGGCGTCAGGGAACTGCTCACGCCAGGCGTCGTCGAGGCGAAAGAAACAACGCTGCGCCGTGTGAAACTTCCCACAAGTCTGGCCAGTGCGGTCACCTGTGCGGATGACATACGGGCAGGTACCTCCACCCCCAGACCCCCCACGCTGAGAGTACCACTCACGGAGCTGCTGGGGCGAGGGAGTCTCGCCGGGACGCTGCTGCTGCTGCCTCTGGCCACCGCCGAACCCCCCACGCTGCACCGCCCCACCGCGCCCGCCACCCGCTCCACCGCCGCCACCACTGCCCCCACCGCCCCCACCACCCCCACCACCGCCGCCGCCGCCACCACCCCCTGTGCCGCCACTGACCCCCCAACCACCCGTGCCACTCCCACCTCCGCCACCACCCCCGCCCCCCCCACCCCCTCCACCGCCACCGCCCCCACCTCCACCTCCACCACCCCTGCCCCCCTTGCCCCTGTTGCCCTTGCGCCTCCCACTAGGAGAAGACGCGGCCCCGACCCCCTCAGCTCCGAGGTAGCCGACAGCAGCAGCAGATGCAATGGAGGGGAGGAGGGGGGAGGGGGAGCACCCCTTAAAGAAGGGGGTGCGGGGGTCACCACGAGAGGCACCTACAGCTACAATGCTCTTCTCGGCTGCTAGGAGTTCCTTCTCGAGGAGGTCGACAGTGAGGTCAGTGGGGGAGAGAGCAAGAAACTGGTCCCTGACAGTGCGAAGGGAGTCAGGGAGGCGGGTGACAAGGTGGTACAGTGTGAGGTACATCGGGGGGGGTTCTTGGCGAGGAAATCGGGGGGGAGCGCGGCACGGTAGCGGAGGTCACTGGTACGGAGGTGGGTGATGAGGTCAGCTACAGTGGCAAACGCGGACAGGTCGGGGAAGAGATAGGGCAGTGAGAGACGGCCTATAGTAGCAGTGGCAGGGGAGGAGTAGCGTGCGACTACTGCGTCGTACAGCTCCTTAGCGGTCTTATGCTGGCCGAAGTGCTCGCGCTCATCTAACGGCAGGTGGCTGCGAACGGCTAGGCGAGCGTGAGCATCACGGGTCTGCCACTGAGAGCGAGCAGTACTGTCAGCAGTAGTGGGAGGTGCGGGAGCAGCGCCTGACGTGTGGTCATAGAGGGAAACATCGTCCTTGGCAGTGATCTGGAGGTACAGGTGAAGATCATCAAGCCATACATCGAACTTAATCGGGCGGCCCTCGGCGTCAAAGGAGAGAACAGTGGGAGTGGCCATATGGCAGGAGCAGGAGTAGCAGTAGCAGTAGCAGTAGTAGCAGTTGCAGCACTAGCATTATCAACAGTGGTAGCAGTAGGAGCAGGAAGAGCAGTTGCTGCAGGAAGGGCAGCGCGGCTTGGTCAGGGCGGCGCGACTCGGGCGGCGCGACTCGAGCGGCGCGGCTCGGGTGGGTATGGCGGCGCGACGGCGGGCCTATGCTCGGTGCGCGGCGGCGCCTAGGGTGCGGCTGCGCGCGGGCCGCGGCTGCTTTCTAGCGGCGGCTAAGCGCGAGCTGCAGCAGCCGACGCGCGATCGCCGCGGCGTGCTGGCTGCGACCTGCGGGCGGGCGGCTGTGGGTCACGCGTCGGCCTAGGGGCGAGCGGGGCCTACGGGCGACGGCCTGCTGGGGCGCGCGAGAAAAAAAATCGGGCCGCCCTAGGCGGCGGATTTCCTACGCGCGCGCTAAAACAGCGGGGCCGCGCTCGGGCTGCTAGCGGGCTGCACACGGGCAGCGTGAGAGGAGAGCGCACGAGGGCGCACTAGGGGAGAGGCGCACGAGGGCGCTAAAAAAAAAAGGGGGCGCACGAGGGCACCTCTAGCGGAACGGTGGGCCCTTAGGTCTAGAACCTAAGCTCTTAATACCATGTCAGAAACAAGAAGTGTTGAACTAGAAAGTTGTTGGAGTACAAGTAGTAAAACCTAGTGAAATGTACCCCCTAAAGGCTAACCCACTGTAGCCTATACAACAGAAACATATATAATGTTTGACAGACAAGGCGCATTCTCCCCTTGTCGATCGCATCCTTGACAAAGAAGTAACGCAGTGAAATATGTTTCGTGCGATTGACGAAGCCGGGTTTGTTGGCGATGGTAATCGCACTCTGGTTGTCGCACTGCAACGTAAACTGATTCGGCGTGACGAACTTTGCTTCGTCGAGCAGTTCCTGTAAGTATAGTCCTTCTCGAGTTGCAGCACACGCGGCAATGAATTCTGCTTCAGCCGAGGAAAGTGACACGAGTTCCTGTTTCGATGAGTTCCATGAGATCGGGCCAATTGGCTCGAGACGGAAGACGTAGCCTGATCGTGACCGACGATCTGACGTGTCACCAGCGTGGTCTGCGTCGACAAATCCGCTGAGGTACATTTTGTCGGTCGGTTTTCCTGTGTTGAAAATCAGCCCGACTGTTGGTGTTGCGACAAAGTAGTGTAGAGCGCGCTGAAGATCGAGGTGATGTTCTTCTTTTGGGCAGCGTAAAAATTGTGTGAGATAGCTTGCGATGTAAGCAAGGTCGGGACGGCACGTGACTGCTGCGAAGAGAAGACACCCGATTTGCTGCTGGTACAATTGTAGGCCAGCTGCTAAAAGTTTGGTGTTGTTTAGGATGTGCCCGGTGGGTGTAGATCGATAGGGTGTAGCGACGTAATTTGTAGAAATCTTGAAACGCTTAGCGAGTGACTCAGCATACTTCGATGCTGTGAGGTGGATGGCGGAGGAGGTTCGCGAAGTGTTTAACCCAAGAAATTGGGTTACTTCGGTGGAGACGGTTAAGTCAAGAGATTTCTTCAGATCTGCTTCGATGCGATCACCCAAGGAAGCCGAAGAACTGACGTAGAGAATATCATCCACGTATGCCACGAGCAGCGCGTAGCTCCCCTTGTCATCTAGTCGATACATTCCGGGATCATGCGGCAGTTGTCGGAACCCAACTTCTGTAAGTTTCCTGTTCAAATGCTGCTGCCACAGTCGCGGTGCTTGTTTGATACC